TCATATGTTAAATTCCATATGGGATATTTTTGAAAAATACTACATTTTATAGGTCCTAAGTCCCACATATATTTTAATCCAAATGGTATAAAAGTAGTAGATACCTTTTGAATGAAAGTGCTAATGCTTTTGTGATAAATTATAAAAATCTATTACTTAAATGGTAATTTAAAGCTTTCAGAGAGACTTTTATTTATCATGTAATAGTTGCTTTATCTAATTTGGGTTTAAGTATGTGGCATTTTTGATTTTTGACATATCGTCACAATCATTTCACGATCGCCTTAATCATTTTTTCATGTTATAAGAATATAAAAAAAAATCATTTAATCATTTTTTCATGTTATAATAAAAAAAAATCACTATTTTTCCTCTTACTATTAGGGGAAAGCGGGGCAACATTGCAAACGTTTTAAAAGTCCTGAGTTATTGCAAAACTATCAGTCGTTACTTTCTCAGTATGTTTATGTTATTAAAATGATTCATTGCCTGCATTAATTTTCAGTTTGCAAATATCACAATTTGAAATAAATACTAAAATAAATAATTTATAAATTTGTTATCTGGTCACGTGACCGGGGCATGACTTATTATGCAATTTTTGCCTCCAATTTTATAAAATTTTAAAAACTACCAATAATCCTTATAAGTTAAACTTGAAGGACACCATCCATTATGGGAAACCGAAACTGATGAATTTTTTAAGCGCAAAAAGTAAACTTATGCGTATAAAATTGTGTTAATAATATTTAAAATAACCAATTGGTGTTTTAAAATACCAGATGCAAATACAGTTTCATTTTCACCCAATTTTAAGATTTTTTGTTGAGTTGTCATATGAAAACCCATCTTGCCCCATTCGCCATGTTGCCCTTCCTTCCCCTACACTATTTTTATATTTTTATATTTTACTACTAACCCAGTGGGCATTTCGACGTCGAACGAACGTCGAGCGACGTCGGATCTCGACGTCGGATCGATGTTGGGTTTACGTTGGAAATGGAAATGTTATTTGACGTCGGATAAACTGACATCGCGCGACGTCGGCATTCCGATGTAAATCCAACGTGTTTTTGAAAACTAAAAAACGTTACCTTAGGCAGGAATCGAACCTCGGTTTAATAGAAACTAAATCCTACGCGCTTACCACTACACCACAAGGACATATTAAATATTGAGTTTATTTAGCAATTTGTACTTGTAGCTATTTGGGAATTATTACTTTGATAAGAAATAATTTTGTTTAAATATTATATAAATATTAAAACGAATAGTTATATATTATAAAAAATGTATACTCGAAAATGTTAATAGTTAAAAAACTATGCTAGTGCATCATACAAAACCTCATGATGTCTTATCAACCGACATTATTCAAACTTCTTTCCATTAATAAAAAACACGCTTAGTTCACATATTTATTGAAGAGCGCAATTGCACATATATTGTTGGGTTTGGATTAAATTTTCATCAGCGATGTCTTACGACGTTGTTCCGACGTCGTTTTAAGAACGTTGGATTGACGTCGGAAGACGTCAAAAGACATCGGAGTACGTTAATATATGACGTCGCCCGACGTCTTTTTATCGACGTTGGATCGATGTCAGTACTGCGACGTTTTTTGGACGTCTTTTATAAGATGTCGGAACAACGTCAAAATACATCGAAACGACGTCAGGGGATGTTGAGATAAAGACATCGCCCGACGTCATTTTACTGACATCGGAACAACGTCGGAATAGGTCTTTTGACATCGCTGATGAAAATCGTACGTAAATCCGACGTCGGATTGACGTCGGGTGCCCACTGGGAATACACTTCTTTTTAATTTGATGTATAAGAAAAAATAGCGATTTTTTTTTTTTTTTTCATTTTTTTTAATTTCTCATAACATAAAAAAATGATTAAGGCGATTGTGAAATGATCGTGACGATATGTGATGTTTTCCACCTTTGTCCCATGAAAGAATTACAATAAAATATTACAACGAAATTCTACCAAAATAAAAGAAGCTGATAAAATGAATTTATTTTTAATGAAGTGATATTATTAAATACATTCAAGATTAATATTAAATATATTTTTTGCTCTTTTGCTATATACGCGCCATTCTTTTGTATCTTGAGTTTATGAAGTAAATCACCTTGACTCCTTCAATAACAAAAATTTCACAACCTTATATTTTTCTTAACCATTTTCTGTAAATAAATATAAAATAAATATTAATGAATACGATTCTACATATTTATCTTAATCAATCAATCAATATATTTTCTGAAACATTTGGTATTACATTTCAAGGTTGCTTACAAATAGTATAAACTACTAATATTAAGTAAACACCTATAGGTGTTTCATTGTTATCATGTTATCATTATTTTATTATAAATATTTTTATTATTATTGTTATTATTATTATTATTATTATTATAACTATTTTAATCATTGTTATTATAATAACAATGATTAAAATAGTTATAATAATAATAATAAAAATATTTATAATAAAATAATGATAATAATAATAATAATAATAATAACAATAATAATAATAATAAATAATAATAATAATTTATTATAAATAATAATAATAATAATAATAATAATAATAATAATAATAACATGTTACTTTAAAAATAGTAATATTAATAATATAGTAATTAATATAAATAATATAGCAATTTAAATAAATCGATATAACTTTCAAAACGTAACAACTAACGATGACATAAAAACAAGTATTGCTAAAAAAAACTATAATGATTTAGTAAATATATTAATCATAGCTCTTATAATATCATAACCAAAATATATTGCAAATAATAAATAAATAAAAATGTAAACAGAAACTAATTAAATAAAATGTAAACAGAAAAACACTGATACAACAAACGTTACGAACAAAAAAAAAATTACGTTAAATATTTGTGACAACAAAAAAAAAACAATATAAAAACAACAACAACATAAAATAAAAAATAAAAACAACAACAAATAAAGAAGAAAAATATATAATATTACATGGTAGAATAAAACATATATAATAAATAGCTAACTACTTCGCATTAGTCTAAGTATATTGACTTAAACTTTAGAAGTCCATCAAGTGGTAGGGTTTAAAAATTAGTGGCTTTTGGTCCAATACGTTTTTTTAAATTGTATCTTGGGTCACTTTCTAAAAATTAGCTTTAAATACATAATAAATTTACCACATAGATAAACACATAAGCTTGATGCAAAGTTAATTTAATCTTAGATTGTTTTTAATAAATTTTTCTAGTGCAACACTTAAATATATAACAATTGCAACACTTAAATATATAACAAAATTGACTAATAGCTCTGAGCAAAATTGACGAATAAGTCTATGCATAAAATGGTAGTCCCAAAACAACAGTGTGGGTTTTGAGATCCTAAGACATAATACAAAATTAACGTCAGAACATAAAATAATATAAAATATACAATAATAATAAGCTCTTAATCATAAATTATATAAAAGTTTAACTTAAATAGTGGATTATATATGTGCATGTCGCAAGTTTAATTTTTTTATCTTAATAGTTTATTATTGCATCAGAGACATACCGCTTAACATCTTCAACATAGTAATTATAGACTGCCACTTTAAATATATAACTTTAAAAAATTTTAAAATATATTTTTTTTTGTTTTTTGAGTTTATATCTAACGGAACAAGGCTACTTATTTAACGATCCACTGCTCCTCCTAAAATTTATCAAAAGAGCTTAAAGAGAAATGGATAAATGCCATAAACAGAGTTGGTTGTAATTCTGAAGTCCTTCACACGCGAATTTGCAGTGACCATTTTAAAGTAATAAACAAGTATTTTTGTTTATTACTTTAACAATATTATCGATATTTTTCTATAAATTACGCTACTCTAAATTTATTTAAAAAACAGGAGATTTTAGGCTCTTTTGCGATTTCGATTAAACTTAATGGAGCTTTTTTATTTTTAATTAAACTGAAGCCTCTGCGAGGGAAAACTTTTGATCTTTTTTAAAAATTGTATAATTTAGCGCTGCGTAATATACGGACGATCTCGAAGAGATTTCAATTAAGTGTCTTAGGGTGAGTTTCCACTCATCCGTTTTTTCACGGGAACAGGAAAGGGACGGGAAAAATAATCACGTGGGCATGCGTAGAATAACTTATAATATGTCTGAAGAAAAACCACGCATGTTCACGTGATTATTTATCCCGTTCCTATCCCGTTCCCGTGAAAAAACGGATGAGTGGAAACTCACCTTTAAATGGAACGGCTTGTTTTTATTTTTTAAAAGAAAAAGAAAATTTGGGTTGCGCGCGCAGATGTTTTTGAAACTTATCTTCTTTAGTGAACTTTTCAAACTGGTCAGTTTTTGTATACGGCCTCTATGGAATGACCAGAATTTTAGGTGTTATGGGCTCTGTTATAACAGCATTTTTTGGTTTTGACGTGTTTACGATGGTCTTAAATTTTTTAATTATGGATGTCTTTTTTAAAAGTTTAAGAGGAAATTGATATGATTTTAAAATTTAACATTTTTAAATAGAAATTTCTTTTAAATTTTTGTTTAAGTTTGACAATATGTTAAAAAATATTAAGAAATAAAATTTTCGAAAATTGAGAAGAAAAAAGAAAAAATATCAAACCATGTTAAATTTAATTTAAAATCAACAATAATGTTAACAATAACACCAATAATGGTAATAATAATTATAAATTTTTTATATTTGGTAATAAAAAAATGATTTTTTTATTACCAAATATAAAATTTAAAATGCAGTTCAAAGATTTAAAATGCAGTTCAAAAGAATACAATTTAAAATGCGGGTTTAAAAGAGTACAATTAGAACTCGCAAGGTTCGTAAAAAAAAAATAGTTTGATGAAAACATTACACTTAACAATTTTTTTTTTTTTCGAAAGTTAAAATGTCACATTTAAATGGTTTATTTATAACATTTGTTTATGTTTCAGAATTAACCACAAAAATTTTATTATTTATTTTAGCGCCTTTGTTTATAAACATGAACAAACACGTCGACCGCTTTAGAAACCCGCACTATTTCAACATCGTTAAGGATCTTTGGAATAAAATGTCCCACGAAGAAAAAAAGTGTTAAAAGCGTTGGCTTATTTTATAGTATTGTAGAATGTAACGAAAATTCTATTTTATTGTTATAGTGTTGTAGAACGAAAATGTTGAATTTTAAAGTTCTTATTTAAACACTTGTTTTTTGTCAAGACCGTCAAAAAGGACCCCTGAATATTGGAAAGTTAAAAAAGTAGTTTGAAGTTGCTAGGAAATAAAAGACATGTGGGTAGTTAATTAAGTTCTTTTTTTAAATATCTATTCTCTGTTTATAAATACATATAATTTAGCTTATGTTAAGAATTATATGTAAAGAAAATTCAAGTTTTAAAGCTAATATCCAATACATAATTATACACAATTATTTATTATTAATTATTATTAATAATAAATATAATGGTGATAATTATGTATTGGATATTAGCTTTAAAACTTGAATTTTCTATTTTTGATAATTATATTATTAAAATGTAATTATATTATCATAATTTAATAACCTTACTCAATAATGCTAATAATAACAACAATAATAATATTATTGTTGTTATTATTAGCATTATTCAGTAGTGTTATTATATTATGATATTATAATTACATTGTAATAATATAATTATTAAAAATAAATGTAATAATATATAACAACAGTAAGTTATAGCTGTTATATATTATTATATTTATCTATAATAATTATATTATTATAATGTTTATATATATATATATATATATATATATATATATATATATATATATATATATATATATATATATATATATATATATATATAAAATATATATACAGACTTTAAGACTGTGCAAACTCCAAACTTAAGTATAATCATGTTTATGTCAAATGAGAGTGTTTCGGAAATAATCGCAGTGGTTGGAACACAGGGGGAAGGGGTAATGCCCCCAAAAATGTGCTACTACCACAAATGTGAAAATAATGCATTAATGAAGTATATTTTTTTAAGCATATACTAAATTTAAATTCAGCAACAGGTTTTTAATCTTATTTATTAAGATTTTAGTGTTTGAAAGTTATAACCATGTGAAATTTCCAACTCCCTCATTATGGGAAGGGCAGAAATATTACATGTTCATAACTTTTTAACATTAAGTAAAATTGAAAACAAGTTTATGAATTTAAATTTAGTATAATATGTTAAAAAAAATACAATTTATTTTCTCATTACACTCACATTTGGGGTGGGAAGGGAGAACATTTTTTAGTATTTTTGTTTTCTTGCTCCAATCACCGCAGTTTCACTCTCATTTGACATAAGCATAAACATACTTAGTTTGCACACTGTCTGAAAGTGTCAAATCTGAAACATCAAAATATCATGCCTATGGGCTTATATATATATATATATATATATATATATATATATATATATATATATATATATATATATATATATATATATATATATATATATATATATATATATATATATATATATATATATATATATATATATATATATATAAATTTGGTTACTGAATATATTAAACACATATATACACTTTTTGAAAAATTATGAAATAAAAGATTGTTGAAATTTTCTATTTTCCTTGATATCATTATGTGCAGATACTGTCTGCACACACATAATTTAGCTGCACATAAAATATCACTATCAACATCATACTGAAGCAGCCATCTATAAATAATAATAACTTAACCAATCATTTGATGCATATTGCTATTTTAATAATTAAAAAAACATTCAGGTCTTGTTACAAGCAGATGATATAGTCTTTAATTTTCTTATTTTCACTTATTACTAAAGTTTTATTTAGACAAATAAAATGACTAAATAAAAAAATGATTAATTAATAAACATTCATTTAGTTGCAAGATTTTGAAAAGTTCAACCTTTTTTGACTAATTTAATTAAAATCTTTTTATTAAGAAACTGATAAACTCTTTTAATAGTTGCTGTGACGGCAGCATTTACAAGAAAACTGCATACGGATTTAATTCTTTATGTAAAATTTTTTGCATAATTTTATTTCAATAAAAACTATTTTTTAAGTAAAAGAGAATATTGATATGTCAAAATGGAGAGGAAGTCAGTACTATACTAAAAATTATAATAAATTAATCTTTTTATAAACATATATTTATATATAAATAATTACCAAAACAGAAAAATTCATAAATAATAATTATTTCACAATACATTTTTCAATTATTTTATGAGTTCTAGTTATAAATTCTTTTATAAATATTACATCACAACTTTATTGCAGCAAACATGAGTATTTCTTCTGTCTTTTCCAAATGTCTTCTTTAATTATTTTTCGTAAAATATTCAACTGTTTAAGTATAATAAACATGCTTTTTGTATGACTGTATTTTTTTCTCAGACTGTTGTAACTTTGTATGTAGACTTCTGAAACATTTTCAGCAACCTGGCACATACATTCGGAGATTGGCTAAAATAATTTAAAAAGTATTTTGTTTTAAGATTTAAAGGTTCTGAATAATAATAATTAGTTAATTAATTTATCTAATTTATATAATTAATTTAATTAATTTATCTAATATATAGTTATTATTTATTATATAGTTATTATAGTTATTATTAATTTATAGTTATTATATAGTTATTATTTATTATTTATAGTTATTATTTTTATATTTATTGCATTATTGTTCAACATTTGTTACATTTTGGTATCTAGAGTATTGAAGTACCACTGTTAATTATATAAAATGTCTAACATTTGCTTTGAAAAGGTTTAGTTTGATAATTTGAAAATTTATAATTGTCATTTAGTAATTAAAGGTTTTAATAAATCTTAAATTTTTAAATTAAATTAATATTTCTAATATTAATAGGTTTAAATTTTTATTATTTATATAGTTTTTTAAATGTGTTTTATAGAAAGTTACTTTTAAGTAACCATATGGAACTATATAAGTTTACTTTCAATGATAAGCTACTTTTAATTGTAATGAATTTACAAATCTAGCTACCAGTAACTAAATAACTAATTACAAGTAACTAGTTAACTTGCTACCAGTAACTTTATAATGATTATTGCTTTTTTCAAATCTTTTTGTAAATCGTTTAATCATCACTTTCTTATAAATGTTATAAAGTTGCTAAATTTTTTTGCTAACTGCATTTTCGGCTAATAAATGTTCATTGTATAATAATTATCACTGCACAATAAATATTATGTAGTGATATTTTTTTCGATTGCATGATTATTGTTATATATATATATATATATATAGATATATATATATATATATATATATATATATATATATATATATATATATATATATATATATTTTTTTTTTTTTTTGATTAAGAATAAAAAACAAAAAAAATAATTTTTTTCTTGTTTGTTTTTGGAAGCAATAATATAAAATATAGTATTTAATAAAACATAGTATTTTATTTAGTTTAAGTAAGCAATGGTATAAATTATTTTTACAACTCCCAATCATAAAACAATAAGTATTTCTCATTAATTATAGAAGTTTTATTTATGCTGTAGAGTATTTTAACTGCATGAATTACATTCAGTTATTACTATTATTAAACCTGTTAGAAATATAAACAGTAACTAGAAGAAGAGGATTCCAAAGGTTAGATTTTCATTTTTATATATATCCCACTTATTAAAATATTAATCTGACCTGTATTATGTTTTGTATTCTTGAGATCAACAGCTTAAGCCTGTTAATAACTTGTAACAAGTTGTTATAGATTGGTTCTTGTGTTTTATCTTCACTTTTTAACACGTCAAACAACTCTTTGAGAATCATTTCAAATAAATGTTGATATCTCCAGACAGCTTGCAGGATCTAAAAAATAAAAATGTTTAAAATTCATTTGTTGTATATTTTATATTGAGTATGTATATATATATATATATATATATATATATATATATATATATATATATATATATATATATATATATATATTCTTTCTCTGTAGCTTGTTTAGATGAGCATTTGCTCACTAGTTTTGCTTATCTTTATAGTATACAGCATTTTCAGAAAAAGAAGATAAAAAACAAAGAATAATGAAAGAAAAGATTGCTGCCCCATCCCAAACCCTTAGTCGATGTAGCAGCACTCTGCTGTGAGTCAAGCTATTTGTCAGTCGATGTATGTACTGAAGCCCCCGACAGCAGGTTATTTCAGGGTAATGTCAGAGTGCTCATCTAAACTAGCAATTTAAGTTTAACTACCGCATATACTATAGCATATATATAGTGTGTATATATATATATATATATATATATATATATATATATATATATATATATATATATATATATATATATATATATATATATGTATATACACTATAGTGTATATATATGTATATATATATATATATATATATATATATATATATATATATATATATATATATATATATATATATATATATACTATAGCACATATTAAACCATCTGTTAAAACAGCCTGCCAAATAAAAAGTTAGGTATGTGTTTTTACTAATTTACTATTTGATAGACAGATATGTTGTGTATTCTACAAATAGAGTGTTCGATGTTTCTTTAAAAATATTGAACACTTTATTTGTAGAATGCACTATATATATATAAATATATATATATATATATATATATATATATATATATATATATATATATATATATATATATATATATATATATATATATATATATATATATATATATATATATATATATAAAAATAGATAGATAGATAGATAGATAGATAGATAGATATGTTATAAGTATATACACTATTATAATAAATTCAAATAAAAATCACTTACTGAGAGAGTTTTGAATTCTGGTCTTTTAACAAAACTTTCTGAAGTATCATAAGAACAAATTGACATATTAGTTGTAGGTACTTCTGACAGCTGCTCTATCTAAAATAAATAAGGCCAATATATTTCTCTCTGAGTGTGTGGTTGTGTGTGTGTGTGTGTATACAGCTTTTAAAAATATTTTTATGTTTATTACTTTTAATTCAAATTATTTAAAGTTATTACTTTATTATTTACAAATATATTTTATTATATTTATGTTTATAAAATTCTTTATTATATTTCTTTTAGTCTGTAATGTTTTCCTGGTGCCAATAAAAACATGTTTTCATAATGAGATAGTTGTGTAGCTGTTCTAATAACAAAAACTGTGTGGGCAGCCTGATTTCTTATGGTATATATCATAATCAAACTGGTTTATATTTTGATCTGAATTTTTTTTTCGGTATATTAAAAAAAAAAACATTACAGAACCATAGACAAACTGAAGTTAGTTAGGAATTACTAAAAACATCACCTAAAATGGAGAGAGACTATCATACTAAAAAATTACTTTAAATGATTTTAATTTTAATGGTAGTTGTTTTATTTTTATTGTCATCTCACCATAATGTTTCATTGTGATTATAATCATTGTATATGTGATGGTGATAATCTTTATTTATTAAAATTGTCCTTACCACTAAGCATTTTAACCGATGAACCAGTGAAAGATGGTAGGTATCCATCAAAAGATCATCTGATAAGCGAAAAACAAAATTCTTCATTTGAGTAAAACAAGACTTTATTTGGCAATTTGAAGTTGCTGTATTCAGTGGATTTGTTGAAAGCTCATCAGAAAGTTCTATATCTGTGTCAACCTGTGGCGCTGCATAGGCAACAAGAATAGCCACACCTGCAACACGGTAAACACTTTTTGAATTGATTACAAAAATCAATAAAACAAAAGGTTTTGTACTTTTAAAAACTGATAAAAATATAAACTAAATTTTTGTTATAATAATTTCTTTAAAATTTTATAAACTAAATTTTTGTTATAATAATTTCTTTAAAATTTTATTAAAAATGTTTTTTTAACTATTCTTTCTAAAACATATTATACCTGTAATCCATATTAAACGCTGTATAGCCATGTTTTTTAATATTACGTTGAGAGTAAGAAATATGATATTTCAATTCTATCGTTCCCATTTTATAATAATTTTGTCCTACCAAAAATTTCCCCTTCGGAATTCTACTGAAAATTTCGTTTTTTTCTTTTTAGTTTTTAGGGAATTTTTGCTAATTTTTTATCAAATCACTCGAAACCGCTAGTTGTATGAAATGTTTTACTGTTTTCTTCCTAAGTTGTAAACCGATGGTTTTTGTAATTCCATTTATAAAACAAAGGCTATGTAAACACTTTTTTAAAAATCTTTATAAAGCTAGTAGAAACCCTCCTTTTTTCTAGGAAAATTGCATCATTTTTTAATCGCTCTGGGAATATTTCTTTTTAAATACTTGCGCTTTACCTCTCCTCCTTTTTTACTTATTTTAAACCATAACGATTGAAATGACGGATTTACTTTTTTTTTAATTTATTTTTTTGTTTGTTAATTTATTTAATTTTGTCCGTCAACTATTATTGCTACTTGAAATTGGCTGAGAATTTTAAGGCCGCATTTAGGTTATAACTGATCTTTAATGTATGGTATTTTAAAATAATTTTCACGATGCTCTTTAAGTATATTGCTGGGGTCCGCGTGTATACCAACACTTTTACGATTAAAATTGAATTTAAACCATAATTTATAATTAAATAAAAAGAAACAATTGTATTATAAAATTTTTTCCAGCAATATGAAAAAACTTAATATTAAATTAAAATATAAATTTAAAAAATTGGTCATACATTAAATAATAGATTTGTTTTAGTCTAGTTTGCGTTGTTCGACGTTGGTTTTTAGTACACTCTATGGGAGTTTAGTAAGATGAAGAATATCGAACAGTTTGTTAATTATTTGTGCGTGTTTGACGTAGAACTCATGACAGCTATTACACCCAAATTAATAACGAGAAAGAGTCACAACACTTTTTTATGAAAAAATGTGAACGAAAGTGTATGCAAATATCTAACTTATGTACACTTCAAATTACGCAATGTTAAATATTATATCAACTTTTCCTTTTACTTGAAAATTGCAGCAAAATCTCCTTAATTTTAATTCATATCATTTATTCGCCATTTTATAAAGATATAGGTTTTTGCTTAATAAATAATGTTAAAAACTGTTTGTGTAGTGTGTCTAAGTAACCGAAATGGTTAGCTTTCTGCGTTTCCGAAGTACATCGTGAGGGTTCAAATCCGTTTACTTGCACATATAATTCTATTTTTTTTAATTTCCTAAAATACAAAATACGACATTTTTAAATATCTATAGCTATTGTATACATAAAGATGTTATATCCTATACAAATGAAAAGAAGAGAATTTTTAAAAAAGTTTAAATTTAGAGATATAACATAGTTTTTACATATCCAGATATTTTAATTTTTTTTTACATAAAATATTAGTAATTGTGGCAGTCAGCACAATTAAAATTTATATCTTACTTCCTAAAAAATAAATATTGAATGCGTATTGTAATTTTTTTTTTCTCTACAGCAGTGGAAAACAGTATTATTGTAATTACGATTAAAGATAATTAAATAATTAACATGTTTTTGTTATAAATAAAAGTTAAGTATTTTTAAATATATAACAGTTGAATGTTTTTTAATAAATATGAACTAAGAACAACAAGCATTTTTATTGTCAGAAAAGAGCAGCTCAGCTTGTCAATAAAATTGCACCAGCAGTTTTGTCGACTGGCACTACAATAAAAGACGAGATTGTTTTGGAAATTTCTAAGCTGACTTCAATAGAAGAATATTTAAAGTCACAAAAAGTATGAAGCATTAATGACTATAGGTCTCAAACTATTCATCGTAAAACTGGGTTGATGATGGACTTTGACAATTAGCCATTTACTTTAGTTGAAGATATAGGATTTAATAACTTAATGCATCATTTAGAACCCAGGTATTGCTTGCTAAGTAAAAAATATTTTTCTAAATTAATAATACCTCAACTTTACATGGAGTTAAGTAATATTCTAATAAATTGTTAAAACCAAATTATATAAGCTTTTCTTCAGATATATGGATATGCCCAATTTCTAATGAATCATTTATTTCGATGTCAAGCCAATGCATTGATAAAGATTTTAACAGAATTGATGTGGTATTACATGCTTCTTCTTTTCCTAAATACCATACTGAAATAAACATATCCGATAATTAAAAAAGTATGTGACTTGCTGGAAAATTTAAATTGAAAGACGACACCTTCTTGTAAGAGACGGTGCTAGCAATATGGTAAAGAAGTATTCTAGCTGAAACTTCCTCTATCTATTATACTATTTGTTTGCTTCAATTAGCTGTTTCAGATTCAATAAGTGAAAATATTGTAAAAGATGTTCTTTCAAAATACCGTTGACTTGTAACTCATTTCAATCATTTATCCATAGCATGCAAAAACTTTAAACAAATTTAGCAGCAACAAAATCATGACCCACTTTGATTTGTTCAAGGTGTCCTAATGAGATGTAATAGCACTTATCTGATGGTTGAAAGATTAAACAAATTAAAAATTTTAGTTCAACTATAGGGTAAAGTGACCAATTAATAGTCAAGAATTTCTTAAAGATAGTCGTCCCAGCAAACACGGGAATGTACAAAAAATGTACAAAGAACGTTCAGACGGAAGTTTCGGACGCGTTCTAAACTGATTCTAGATTAGACGCTCAAAGACTTCCTTTAAGGACGTTCCAAAGACGTCGTAAAAAGACTTAAATAAGACTTTCCGCTTAAGTGCAGTTATACCTAATTGGTCTAGAAAATATTTTAAATAAAATAAAATAAAAAAGAAACTTTTAAACGTCAAAAGACGTTCTAAACGTCTTTTGAACGTTCAAAAGACATTTGTTATGCAATGAGTGTATTTTTGCAATCACAGAATTTGTAGGGTTTTGGGGACAAAAATTTAACATTCAGAAAACATAACAGAAACAACAACCAGTATGCCATAATAATTAAAACGAATAAAACACAAAATTAAAGTATACACAAGATTAAAACATATTTCAAATTACAGATTTAAAAAATATCATTAAAACTGTTGTCGTGGTTTAGTTTTTCACGGACACTGACGCCTTTTCTATCCGGCACTCTTTTCAGGATATCTCCAACGCAATTTTCTAGTTCATTCTCGGTATACTTGGGCAAGGTCTCTGCTAAATACAAAAAAAATTTATGAGTAAAATTTATAGAATATAAAATAAAAAATATAATCAAGATTCAATCAAGTTAGCATATACAAATGTGAAGGCTAACTGAACTATTATAATAATAATAATAGCAATAATGATAATAGTAATAGTAATAATACTAATAGCAATAATAATAATAATAATAGTAATAATAATAATAATAATAATAATAATAATAGCAATAATATTAATGTAATAAGTAATTAAATTTTAACAAAAAGAAAAGACATGCATAATATAATAGTTTGATCTAAACCGTGAAACCATTAAATCAATTAATTTTATAGTTAGATTTTAAAAATTAAAAAAAACCTAGATCATTTATCTAAAGATCATATTTAAGGATCTGCAAAATATTGAGTTTTTCCCACATTCTATATACTAATATCTATTATCTATTCAAATGTTTGAATTATTGCAAGTTTTTTTGTTCTAAAATAAGTCAAAGGAAATTACTGATTTCTGTTGATGCCAGTGCCGGATCAAGGGGGGTTAGGGGGACTATAGCCCCGAGCCCCGTAAATTTAGGGGCCCCCAAAAAATTTAGAGGCCTTTTTTTTTTTTTAAAGTCATTTTTAGGTTCTAGCCTATAAAAAGGCCTCCAAAAACAAAAATAGCCCCGGGCCCTAAGAAGTCTTAATCCGCCACTGGTTGATGCGCAGCTATTAGTAGTTCAGTTTTTTATCAAAGCTAAAAGTTTTTTATCATTTTTTTATCAAAGCTAAAAGTTTTTTATCAGTTTTTTATCAAAGTTAAAAACAGAATTCTGTTTTTAGTTGCAACAAAAAGTTTGTTTAAAAAATTTAAAAATACAAAAAAAAAAACGTTTTTTTTTTAAAATTTTTTTTTCTTTAATATCTTCTAAATATGAACACAATTATTTGTTGATGTCAAAGCACAAACAAATTTTTTTTCAATTAAGTGTTTAGAGTTTCTTGAGATTAATGATAATGTATGCAGTTGTGGTATTTCAATGCTTTATACTGCATGACTTGCCATATATACACTACTAAATACAACTATTGCAAAAAGTCTTTTTGAAAAAGTTGTATTTTAAGGTTATCAGCTTTTTTTAAAAGAGCTGATATCCTTCAAAGTCTAGATAAAAATAATGTTAAAAAGTTCCAAAAGTATTAATGAAGCTAGCAACTTTCATAAATTATTATTTAAGAATATTGCTAAAGTTACTTTAATAACAAAAAAATAAAAATTTGTTAGGGGCTGTTTATATGAGCCGGGCTAGCTCGTTTAGCCGAGCTGGCTCGTTTAAACGAGATCTCGCATGCTTTAAGATTTATAAAAATTAAACTTGTTTACATTACAAACGGGCTAGCCCGGAAAACTGAGATCTCACTTGTTTAGAGTGGGATCCCACCAACACGAGACAGTTTTTTTCATATAACGCATGCGTCATTTATTTTTTTTAAAACTTTAAAAATGTCTGACCAAAATGAAATGCTTGATTTTAATTATAAAAAAAATAATGAATCAAATAAAGCTTGTGGAAGTTTAAGCAATCATTCTGACGTAGTGGTAATACAAGAATTAAATTCTCAAGAAAATATAAAAGCGAATGATGTCTTTGGAAGTTTGAGCAAATATTCTGACGAAAATGAAAATAAAACTAAAAAAGCTTCTGGAAGTTTAAACAAACATTTTAAATGGGGTACAAAAATGGTAGAAGATTTAATAGAGTCTATACATGCATATAAATCCTCTATGATGTTTAAAAATTTAAACTTTGACGCTGATAAACAAGCACAGTATTCCTATATTAGAAAGGATATGGCAAATAAATATGTCGATGAAAACTTGTTTGGTTTAGGATCAGACATTCCAAATTTACCCTTAAATTTTAAACAACTATCTAGTCAAGACCAAGCCCTCCTTAAGACAGAGTTTTTTCAAAAAAAAAAAGTTAATTTCTAGACGAAAAAAAGAATCCAGGAAAAAACAAAAGAAATTAGACAAGCATTTTCTAAAGCTGTAGTGTCTGGGTCAAAAAAGTGGCAGTGGGAAAATTGCCTTTGAACACTATGATAATCTTGTCTCAATATGGGGTGGTTCAGCTAATAGTAGGCCATTGCCATTTGGTGTTTCAAGTTGTAAAAAGTTAACTTTAAATAATATCGAAGATGTAATCGATGATCACGAGGATATTTCGGATTGTAGTGAAAATGAAAATGAATTAAAACAAAAAAAAAGAAAAACATCTGTAGTTTCAAAACTTATTGACAATAAAAGAAAATGCTTGAAAAAAATCTTTCTGCAGCACAGATAGATAAACTTTTTTTAAATGAAAAAACTAAAGCCATAAAAGAATCTAATGAATCTTTTTCTGATTGCATAAAAGACATTAGTAAATCAATTAGTGATCTAAGCAAGGGTTTGTGTTCCTCTATGGAACACAAACCCTTGCTTAGGTCACTAATTGATTTACTAATGTCTTTTATGCAATCAGAGACGTAAGCATTTATGTTATTAAAAAGTCTTAAGTGATTGATACATTTTTTAGAGAACGAAAATCTTTAAGAAACTCTTTTTAAAATATTTACAAACAATATTGTGAAAAGCCTGTAATTAAAATTCACTGTTTTATTACAATAATAAATTTTATTTTTTTAAACATTTTCAACAATAACTTGTCAAACAAGAAATCATAATAAAACTGGAACAAAAATGTAAAAAAAAATTATTTTATCAAAAGATGAGTATTGCTTCTCGTTATATTTGATTTTATTTTGTGTAAACAGTTTGCTTTTGAACATAATTTTCACTAATGTACTCAGTTAATGCTTTGCGAATAACTTCACCTTCACCGTCAATACAAGAAAAAATTGGTTTGGTAAATTTCTAAAAAAATTTTTCATTTACGTTTATTATCTCAACTTGTATTTTTACTAACTCTTCATCAAAGAAGATAATTTGGCGTTCACAAAAGTTATGTAAAATAAAACATGCATAAATTACTGTTGGAATTTTTTTAAGTTTTTAATCCATTTTTTGGTCAAAATTTTCCAACGTGCTTTAAGTCGACCAGAAGCACATTCTATTGGGTTGCGTGCCGTCCTCAACATACTGTTAATGACTTCTTCGTTTTTCTTGCATGTACTATATTCTTTCATACAATGTGGAAGTAGTGGATATGCAGGATCTCCAATTAGGTAGCATGGAACTTTTATTTTGTTCTTAGTAATAGTTTGAAAGGTTCCTGGTAGTCTTGAACTTCTCAAATTAGTATTAATAGAAGAGTTTGAAAAGACTTAAGCGTCATGCACACTACCAGGCCACATAAATTCAACATCCAAAAAACTGCCTTTGTAATCATAAACTGCTTGAACCTGTAATGAATAGTATTGTTTGTAACAAAAATAATCTTGAGAATGATTAGTTGGACAAACAATGGGAATGTGAGTGCCATCAACACAACCAAAGACTTGAATCATTCCAAACTTTGGCTCAAACTCAGATATTTTTTCTCTCATTTGCTGTTTATTTTTTGGTAAATAAACAAACCTTGGTCCTATATACTTTACAATAGCATTACAAACTTCAAAAATGACTGCTGAGATAGTACAAACTACAATTCCAAAAGTGTTTGCTGTCATGTTCAATGTACCACTGTCTTTTGAATAGTATAGCGTTATAGCAACTTTTTATCTGGTGTGATTGCTCTTATATCTGGTGAGTAAGAACCTGGAGATATATAAGGTTCAAGAAAGGAGACAAGTTCAAAAAAGGAATTTTTATCTAATCGAAAGTTTTTTTTATAAGATTCTTCAGGTGTAATGTTCAATATGAGATTTTGCCACCACAAATCTGTGCGTCCAAAACAGACCCAGCAGCTACTTTTTTTTCTGTTTTTTTAGCTAATCTCAATCTTCTTAAAATACGACGTCTGGAACTCAATAAATCAAGAATTATTAACTGATTAAAATCCCTTTTCTTTTTAATATCCATTGTAAATTTTAAAAGATGAATTTGAATATTAATAACTTGTATATTGATAATTTTTTAAGTTATAAAGGTAAGAATTTGTTTATGTAATGGTAAGTAATCCATTTTTCAGCTTCTAATTTTTTTAACTGTGCACGTGATGTAAACAAATATTTCATTCCGGTTTATTTATTATTTATTTATTCTTTTTAACACCCAAATTACAGGTAAAAAAACAAATTGTATAAAACTAATAGTTTATACTTTCAGTGTAAAAAATTTAAACTTTTCTTGGGATGTTTTCCTCCATCAACTAAGTAAATACCAGTCTTGGTTCTCTGATATTCCAGAATTCAAAAGAATGGTTCAAAATTGCCGCTATATTTTCTCCTACGTCATCGTAGCAACGTTTTACCGTTATTTTTTTTCCCTCTATCAAACACTGCACAAAGTTTAGCTCAAGTTGATTGCAAATTTTTATTACTTCGTTGATAAATAGGTTATCTTTAGTATCATCAGATATCTGAGCCAAAATCAGGGAAAAACAAGTTGGATTGTTCAGTAGTCTGATAAACAGATTTAATTTGTTTCGAATGAGGATGGTAGATATGTCATCAATTTTAAAGAAGGGATGCAGGTAGTTTTTGCTGTACTTCGATATACTAAATAGGAATTTTAATGCTGACCTTCCAACAGCGTCTAGTTTATTAAGAAGTGAATTATTATAACAACAAATTTCTAACCCGTATGATAAATTCGGCACAGCCAGTGATTTGAACAAGTGTACTATGGTTAATGGTTGACAAAAACGAATACCCGATTTTATAAGAGCTCTGGATATTGATTGAAACTGAATAATACGTTCGTTTACATTTAATGTTTGAAGTGTTGCTATATTTTTTGTATTATTTTGATTATCTCATAGGAATCCGAGGTGTTTCAGTTTATTCTTAAGGTGTATGGAAAAGCCGTTTATTTGAATTGAATTTTTTGTAATTGAGCTTTTACCGGATATAATAAACTCGGTT